GACTGAAGGTAGCAACAATTACGAGATTGGAAGAATTTCGACCACAAGTCGTGGTGTGAGAAAGAGGCCTAAAGGGGGGGAATGCCTTGGCCTTTGGATTTATCATAGTAGTTGCCTAGATGGCAAGGACAATATTAAAGTATTCATAAAAGCTATAGGTTATGAGACTGATAGGCGCATCAGCCAACATTCGAGGACGAATGTTCCAAAGGGGGGAATGATATTACACCCCATGTTTCCGTACGCAAAAGTACGACGTAAGTCAATTAATGTAAGCTTGGAAATGAGATCCTCTTTGAAAGTATATAAATTAATTTAGTAATGTTACATCCCGTATTTTTGTTCAACATATACACGACTAGGTTGAGGATGAGTGCATTTAAACGCGAGAAAGGAGATTTTGGACAAATAAAAACTAGTTGCTTGCTTACTTGACATGCCTGCTTCACCAACTTACTTTCCTTCCTACTTGCTTGAGCTACTTAACACGTGTCGTGATTATAAAACGAGGATGAGAGACGTATTTAAATTAATTAGGGCATCATGTGCGACACACCCTAATGAAACAGGTAGGTGACAAGTAGGTTGTCACCTACTTGCTAAAATGAGGCCCAAATTAAAGAGGTGTTTGTGGCCCAAATTAAAGGTTAAAGAGAGGGCCATTGAGGCAGTAGTTTGGTCAATCCTAAGGGATTATTAAAGCCAACATCTAACCATTTTCACCCATATTCATCCAAAATAAAGTTCAACAACATCCTCTTTCTCTCCCAAGCCAAACAACCACCCTTTTTTCTACTAGTGTTCTAAGTGGAAAGGGCTTCAAGTTTCATTCATCACCCATTATGTGAGATTATTTTAATATTTTTAATCTTCTCTTCTAATATCTCAAACAAAACTATACCAAACAGCCCAAGGCAGCCCCTCTCCTCCAAGGTTAGACCACCTACGCTTGATTAAAAGTGTTGTAGAAGTGGTGAAGATCACTTGTTGATGTTGTTGCTAAGTGGTAAGCATTCTAAATTTAAATTTTTTCTAGGGTTTCTCATTGCTAAATAAGGTAAGGAATCTTCTCTTCTTCATGTGTTTGAGCTTATCGGAGTCTTAGCTATCTTGTGACAATACAAACTTGTGAAGAAATGGCTTGAAATGAGTTCTAAGTTACTGTAATTTGTTGCACTGTTATGAGGTTATTTTTATTGTGTATTGTGGCTGAAAATTAGTAGGAACAACCTGAGTATGTTGTGATTGTCACTATTGAAGTGTATTCAAGTTCTAGCTAAGTTGTATGGATAGAAAAGTGCATGTTAGAACTTGGTTGTTGGGTGAGGTGGTGTGGACTGTTTTGGTGATGTATTGTAATGAATATAAGGTTAGATATTGATGTATATATGTTTGTTGATATATTGGACATATTGGTCTTGTTGTTTGATTTGAGTAAAGTGAAAGAATAAGGGGAGGTGATGTCCAAAATTTTGTAGACGAGCTAGTCGCTCATTTGTGTTGAGTTCTAGCTTTCGTAAGCTTAACAATGGTCCCTTATTGTTTGTTGTAGATTGAAGTAATAACGGGCTAAACTGATGTCGTGTGGTTAAGTAAACAACAAAGGTATGTCAAGGCTATCCCTTCTTTCCTTTTGGCATGATTCATATGATACAAACGAAACGAGCAAACGCGCAACTTTCACAAATGACTCTATTCTTGAAAGTATTAGGGGTGCCTATGTTCTTGATTCCCCTTGTATCCTATTATAATATCGTCTTTTCATGGGTCTCAGAAAATACTTAAGTTGATAAAGTTTATTTCATGATATTAACCGAAGGCATATTGATCTTATTACCTTCCAAGAGATCTTATTGACTTACTTCATTATGCATTGCATTCATTTATACAAATATGTTGACCGATGATCAGATGGCATTATATATGCGTATACTATATGTATATTGGGTACGGGAAAAGTTTACGGCGTTATATACGCACCACCACCTGATCAGTAGGTATACGTTGATGATTTCGCGCACTAAGGCCGAGATGATATGATGGGATGCCCTCAAAAGCTTGATGATGTTATGTACGCATATACCTATGCATGATATGACATTTATATTCATATGCATGACATTATAATTGTTTCATGATTCACTAAGCTATTCAGAATTACAGATTGAGTCCTTTACTCCAGGTTTCTTTCATATCTTTTATATACTGCTTTTCATGCCTGACATACTCGGTACTTTATTCGTACCGACGTCCCTTTTGCTTGGGGATGCTGTGTTTCATGCCGCATGTCCCGATAGACAGGTTGGCAGTCCTCTTAGTAGGCTATCAGCTCAGCAGAAGGTGTTGGTATATTCCACTTGCTCCAGAGTTGCCTATTTGGTTAGTATGCTTTGGATAAATATTGATTGGTATGGTGGGGCCCTGTCTCGATCTTTATGATATTTATGTACTCTTAGAGGCTTGTAGACAGATGTCATGTATATGGATGATTGTATGGACTTGTCAGCCTATGTTTTAAGTGTACAAATGATCATTTCGATCCTATAGGCCTGTATGTCACATGTATAAGTTTGTATACCATGTTGGGACGTCCTATGTCGAGTATTCCCTTATGTTTTATCCTATTTATCTCATGACGGCCTTTACGGCTCATTTACCCATGATAGTATGGTAAAAAAAGATATATTACATAGGTACTCGGTCTAGTAAAGCAGTGGGTGCCCATCGCAGCCTATCGGTTTGGGTCGTGACATATATAAATTTATTTTCCATGTTCAATTGATTCTATGACTACGTGATGACTCATAATTATGATTTAGAAGCATACTTAAGGTTATGACTTATTGAATTGGGCATATAAAATTATTATGCCATGTTAAGTTTTATGATAAATCCGTAGTCATATAATTTCTTATTTGACTCATGATTTGGTAGTTGAATGGCATAATTCACTCATGTTAAATATTATGATTTGAATCATGAGTGTTGAAATTGCTCATTGAATTGTTATAATAAATTGAATTAGATGATTAGCCATAGCCATCTTTTAGCCATATGAGCTTTTCCATCTCTATTATCATATCTGGTGCTTATATTATTTTATACACATATGCATGATTGGAGAGTTAGTTATTGTGAAAAGTTGAGAATTTTGGCACTACAGACACTATGAGAGGATCTTGATTGTTGGTAGTTGATCATTAATTATGAAATGATTCATTCAGAATCGGGTAATTACCTATGTTTCTTTGGGCCCTGCGAGCGTAGGCACTCGGGTTTGGTGCTTAATTAGGACATGTGGCCTGTGTCAGCCGTATGAATATGTGTTGTGAGGTATTAAGAATTGATCGTGAGCATGCATATTTATGTATATTGACTCATGTATCATGTTTTTATGTGAGGATTGAGGTGTTGATATCTTATTTGATCTCCTTTATCTGTAAAGCATGCTTGAACTTTGTATGAACTGTGTCTTGAGCTTTCATACTCATTTGATAATGACATGCATTATTTCGTATCTTATTTATGCTTTCATATGATTTTTTGGACTGCTAATGAGTGTTAGAGATGACCCTTTGCCACTACTTCTTCGAGGCTAGATACCAAGTACTGTTATTTTTGTACTCATAATACGTTTTTGCATATTTTTATGTCGATTATGAGGCTGGTATTAGTGGTATTCCTCCAACATAGTAGGAGATTTATTTGGAGACTTTGTGGTGAACTATTTTACCTGATCTGACCCGCATCACATGGACTCCATTTCCCTACTTAGCCATTTCTGTCTATTTATGTTCTTTCAGACACATGCTCTTGTTCGGTTTACTCTTGTTAGATGCTTGTGACACTGTGATACCAAGTTTGGGCATTGCTAGACAGTTGTGGTTGCGTTTTAGACCCTATCTTAGACATTTGTTTATGATATTGGTTTTGAGACTTATCCGCATTATTATCCTAATCATATCTCTGTTAATAACATAAAATTGGATTTTATTATTGTTGGCTTGCATAACAAGCAATTAGGCGCCATCACGATTTTTGGTGAATTTTTGGGTCATGACGTAAGCATGTAATCCTCAAAATTTTGCACTAACACAATTAAAGCATATTAATTATAAGGTAAAATGTAGTCGAAAACCCATATTTCTAGCATACCATCAAAAAGCTGGACTTTTACCAAATAAATGTATCCCCAAAAAAGAGTTAGCAAGAATCCGTGAATGCACCAAAATACACTAAAAATAATTAGTCATAATTAAGTAATAAAGCACTTATGTGAAATATAAGGACTAGTTCCTATAGAGATTCTCATTGGTCTAATTCCACGCCTATGACGAAAAAGGAGTCAGCATGGCGTAAAGTAAAGACTAGGGGAGTAGAAAAAATTCCTTATAGGGTGCTCCAAAAGGGTAACCTAAGCAACAAAAAGGAGGCACGATATTTCAACTAGAGAAGTGACCCGTTGGTTTACAAAAATTCAGACCAAGCATCACATATTCTCCAAATCCGAAGGGATTTAGTGCCCAACTATCAACCCCTCCTGAAAATGCATTATACTGGATGGAGCAAGTATTTTGCATCATTACATTAATTATGTTTGGTTTTTTCAGCATTCATGATTAGAAAATTTTTACATAGCTGTAAATATATAAATAATTTTTAAAAAGATAAAGAAGGAAAAATATCACTTTTAGTCCTTCAAATATTGATTAATTGTTGTTGTTGGATATTATTATATTTGACTAAGCATATTTAACATTTAATTAATTAAGATATGCACTATAAGTCTTATGCTTGCGTATTTTCACAATTATATATCTTATTACATTATATAGTAAAAAAGTTAAAATTAACTATGCTTAATCATATATTACAAGGACTAAAACTAAGATATGCTAATTATAATTAAAGACCAAGAGTGTTATTATCCCAATCAAGGTAATGCCCTAATGTGCATAAAACTAACTCTAATAAGTCCAATTTTTTTACATGCAAAAACAGTACTCCACTAGTTAATACTGGCTATGTTGTTTGTTGTTGTTTAACACAACCTGTCAGAGGGAGAAATCAAACACAACTTTATCCTTCGGACCGCTACGGCGAGCAGAGTTTTGCTATGCAGAGTTTCATCCTGCTAGCTCCTCATTGAAGCTGCTGCTTCTTATTTTTCATGGAACTCGATTTTCTATCCGCACACATGCGTAATCCGCCACTAATATTTCGAGGCATCATTTCGAGCCTTTATCCCGTGCCTAAAACCTGCTTGATGTTATGCCCCAATAAACCTCAGCTGCGTAATATTTCCCTCTTTCCCTCTGTTCGCTTTAACTGTTTCTCATGCGCTGCTCTACAAACAATTGAACCCAACTCCCCATCAGTTGAAAACCCAAAACTTCAATATTCCTTTGGGTCTAAAAGGTTGAGTAAAGGGTTGAAGTATGGTGCTAAGGAGAGATTTTTGATTCTGAACAAGAAAAAGGGGGTTAAATGGTACTCTGAAATGCTCAAAGATTATGCTACTAAGTTATGTTTGAAGGAAGGTAAAGCTTTACACGGTGAAATTATTAGGAGTTGCATAGAAACCGATTCGCATTTATGGGTTTCTTTGATTAATTTTTATTCGAAATGTGGTGATTTAGTTATGGCGGGCAATGTGTTTGATTTAATTCCAGAGAGAGATGTTGTCTCTTGGACAGCACTGATAGCAGGGTTTATAGCTCAAGGGTATGGCAGTAAAGGTATTTGCTTATTTCGTGATATGAGGGGAGAAGGTGTTAGGCCTAATGAGTTCACTTTGGCGACAGTTTTAAAGGGTTGTTCGATGTGTTTAGATTTGGAGTTTGGCAAACAACTACATGCCGAGGTTGTTAAAGTTGCTGGCTTTTCGGATATTTATGTTGGTTCTGCTCTTGTTGATTTGTATGCTAAATGTTGTGAATTGGAATCTGCTGTTAATGTGTTCTTTTCCATGCCCGAGCAGAATTCGGTGTCGTGGAATGCTTTACTTAACGGGTATGTGCAGGCTGGTCAAGGAGAGGAGGCTTTGAGATTGTTCTCGAAGATGTCGGATTCAGAGATGAGGTTTAATAATTATACTCTGTCTACTATTTTGAAGGGGTGTGCCAGTTCACCAAATCTGAGAGCTGGCCAAGTTATCCATTCGTTGTTGGTCAAAATTGGGTGTGAACTTGATGATTTTACAAGCTGCAGTCTTGTAGATATGTATAACAAATGTGGTCTGCAAGACGATGCCCTGAAAGTGTTTTTGAGGACTAAAAATCCTGACACTGTGGCATGGACTGCAATGATCAGTGGACTTGATCAGCAAGGACAGAAGAGGGAAGCTGTTCAGCTTTTTTGCTTGATGAGGCATTCAGGTTTGAGGCCTAATCAGTTTACACTAGCTAGTCTTATTAGTGCAGCGGCTGATTCAGTGGACTTAATTTGTTGCAAAAGTATCCATGCTTGTGTTTACAAATTTGGTTTTGACTCAGAAGAGTGTGTCAGTAATGCATTGATTGCAATGTACATGAAATTTGGGTCAGCTTTTGATGGGCATCGTGTATTTTCTTCTATGAGTAATAGGGATATAATTTCGTGGAACTCTCTTTTGTCTGGGTTCCATGATAATGAAACTTCTTATGAAGGACCTAGAATCTTCAGGAACTTGCTTGTGGAAGGTTTGAGGCCAAATATGTACACGTTCATTAGCAATTTGAGATCTTGTGCAAGCCTCTTAGATGCCACTCTCGGGAAGCAAGTGCATGCCCATATAGTTAAAGCTAACCTTGGTGGGAATAAATATGTAGGAACTGCTCTGATTGATATGTATGCTAAGTGTGGGCATTTAGATGATGCAGAAGTGATCTTTTACAGATTGAGTGAAAAAGACATCTTCACTTGGACAGTTGTCATTACAGGTTATGTGCAGTCTGATCAAGGAGAAAAGGCTTTTCGATGCTTCAATCAGATGCAAAGGGAAGCTATTAAACCCAATGAGTTCACTCTTGCTAGCTGTCTGAGAGGTTGTTCTGGTATAGCGAGCCTAGACAATGGGCAGCAGTTGCATTCCTTGGTAATAAAGTCTGGGCAGTTCAATGATATGTATGTGGCTAGTGCATTAATTGACATGTACGCAAAATGTGGGTGTATCAACAATGCCGAGTCTCTATTTAAGAGCGTGGGGTCCTGTGATACAGTGTTGTGGAACACAATTATATTTGCCTACTCCCAACACGGGCTAGATGACAAAGCATTGGAAGCATTTAGAACCATGTTAAGTGAAGGTAATCTGCCTGATCGGATTACCTTTATTGGTGTCCTTTCTGCATGCAGCCATCTGGGCCTGGTCAAAGAAGGAAGAAGGCATTTTGACTCAATGAAAGTTGTGTTTGGTATCACTCCTTTGATTGAGCACTATGCTTGTATGGTTGATATTCTTGGCCGTGCAGGCAAATTTGATGATATGGAACACTTCATTGAGGGTATGGAGCTTGCCCCTAATGCCTTGATATGGGAGACTGTTCTTGGAGTCTGTAAAGCTCATGGAAATGTGGAATTGGCTGAGAAAGCTGCAAACATACTTTTCGAAATTGATCCAACAGCAGAGTCAAGTTATATATTGTTGTCCAATATATATGCTATAAAAGGGAGGTGGGCTGATGTTTCAAAGGTTAGAGCATTAATGTCCAGGCAGGGTATCAAAAAGGAACCTGGTTGTAGCTGGGTTAAGATTGATAATCAAGTCCATGTCTTCTTATCTCAGGATGCTTCGCATCCTAGGTTAAAGGATATCCATAAAAAGTTAGAGGAGCTGGCTTCAAAAATTACTGCTGCAGGATATATTCCAAACACAAACTATGCACTTCATAATGTCTCTGACAAAGAAAAGATAGACAACCTTTCACATCATAGTGAAAGGCTAGCTCTAGCTTTTTCTCTCATGAGCAGCAATAGAAATAGTACTGTCAGGATCTTTAAAAATCTGTGCATCTGTCGAGATTGCCATCAATTTATGAAGCTGGCATCAATCGTAACAAACCGAGAAATAGTTATTCGTGACATTAACCGCTTCCACCACTTCTCTCTTGGAATGTGCTCATGTAAGGACTATTGGTGATTATTGACTGGCTAACCCATCAGGCAACCACAGCTGCAACAGATCAATAGTGCTTAACTGAAGTTCTAAATGCAAGTCATGATAGTTCAATATGAATATATTACTGACGTGGCAAAGTGATGAGGTATTTACCAAACTTTAGTAGCATTTCACTGTTATGCAGAGTATAAACTTCGATCTTTATTCATCCTTTTCTCCGTGGATGTTGTCGTTATTCTTATATTTTTTTTTGTTCTGTTATTACCTTCTTTTTTGAACTTAGTTTTGAAATATATGTTGACCCAGTGTTAACTTTGACTTGGTTTTTACAGCTAATCACCAAGCTATGTTGAAGTAAGCATTTGATTGTGAATGTTTTATTTTCCTTTCTCAGTTTCTTAACGTGTCCATTCCAATTCTTCCAGAGAAAATTTTTTCTTGTGTTTGTCGGAAGTACCAGGCTGTTTTAATTAAGTAGCTATTTTGATGCATTCTTTCTCCTAAAGTGACCAAAGTTCCTTGATCCTGAAAAGCTTTGGTTGAAAATTCTAATGATCTAGCATATTCTTCATTTGTTAGCTTCAGTCTCTGCCAAGGCTTTTTTTCCTTGGACGATCTTTCTAATTCGAGCGCAGCTCTTTCTGTTACCTACAGGATTAATAGCTGGGTTAATAAGTTACCTGAAAGGACAACAACAAACCCAGTATAGTACCACAAGTGGGGGGAAGGGACAAATAGATCAAAGGTTACTCAATCTCTGAGGACTGAAACTAGGTGTGTGAAACCTCTGATAAACTTATTGCAGAAGGTGAAGAAACTGCTCAATTAAATCAGAAGTACTCACGTTTTGCCTTTTCTCCTATTCCATGTTTGAGCTGTACTCAACTCACTTTGGTAGCTGCAGCGATATCTGACCATTTCCTGCCATCCACATTGTTTAATTTTTGAAATGCCTCTGAATAAAGTTCTTTTTCTATCAGAAGGATGAAAAGAAGATCAACTGATATTTCTTTATCATTAAATGTAGAGAACAATATCACCGGTAGGGAACTCCCAACTACATATTACACAAAAATTTGGCCAATAATGATTTTGAAATACTGCAATTTGACAATTCATAAATTAATGCTTTTCATATCTTCAAAAGATGAACAAGATAGTTCCTGCTCCCTGTTGTTATAGAGCTGGACGTGCTTTCACATCTTCTTAACCTTAGATGGCTGAGAAGGTCTTCCGGTAATGGAAAGAAATCCACCCAACTCCAGCTTCATGTATGGTTGCGTGATGCCATGGAGGGTAATCCTATTTCACCTCCTATAATCTTGATGGGAATTAGGATGAGCTTTGCTAAATAAAGAAGAATTGGTAGGGCTAAAGTCCAGGTGGTGATGGGCCAACATAACCCAGTTCACCATATTAATAAAGCCAAAAGAAAAGCAGCTTATTAAAGGTTCCAAACTCAACTATGGCGAATAAACACAAGCGTTGGAAATAAACAAAAAGTGTCCCTATAAGCATGTATGTTAAATTAGTTTGAACCTGTTCTAAGATAAGATTCAACATATAGTTGAATCAAATATGGAATAGAAAAATAATCTTTCATATTACATTGGCTAAACCCAACAAGGACAAGAAAAGAAGCGTTGGAATCGAGTTCTATTGACCAAACTGAAACCTCATCCTAAGTCCTAAGAAAAGAAGTTTGCACTCGATAACTCCACTTCATTTGCTCCACTGATACCAAAGATCAAAAAGCTCCGGATAGAAAGAAGGATTGGTTAGCGAGCAGTCAACCACTAGTAAAAAGGATCCTCGCATATTGTGAATAACCATATTCCATCACTTTTTATGTGGGATGATCTGATTGGCTGTACTAGCTTAATATAAGCTATGCACTGTTCAATGCAAGAAAAACCATGCAAATAACAGGTATAAGCTTGTTACATTTCTTTGTGTTGAACCCCATACTCCTACAACAAACGAGTTAGGTATAAGAAAAACTCAAAGGCTGGTCGGGTGAGGTCATCCAGAAAGAAAACAAAGTTGACCATGTCACTGGAAGCAGACCATAGTTTTGCTTATCCTTTTATGTCTTGACTCTAGAGTTCAAAATAAAGTCAAATGGTTGCAATCAAGAATTGTCCCCATTTGATGGTGGATCTTTAAACATTTTTTGATGCTATAGTTAGAATCTGAAGTGGTCGAGAGCACATAAAGCCTGGTGGTGTTCTCTAGGCCTGTTTGTGAATTAGGCAGAACACTAGCAATTTTTTCTTCCACATTTCTATTATTATAGTCTTTTGCAACTTTTGTAGGGTCTGATTCTGATGTTTGTGGCTTTGTGCATAGCTTTTATTGGTGAATAGTTTGTACAAGCTGTTCGATGAAGAGTTGGTGGTATCTGGCTTCTTACATCTTGATGGGACTGCTATACAGATTGACTTTGCTACACCGAATCAGAGGTGGAATGTCATGAACATCATTTCAGTGTTGGAGTGTACTTCCAAGTCAAACCAAGCCTTGGAGTATACCAAATAGTAAGCGTCTGTTGTTGATAGAAGCATAGTGTTTAAAGAAAAGATGACCATAAGGTTGGACATCCCTCTTCCTATTAACAATTTGTTCTTTTTAATCTGATTGGTTAAACCTTTCTAAATCCTCGTTTTAACCCACTTCTCCGGATTCAAAGGCTCAGTTGTGAAGCATTATCATTCAAACAGTAAAGTCTTCAAACATCACCTGATGAAATCAGCATGTTCAAGTATTCAGAAATCAACTGCAAATCTGAATCATTGGTCTATGACCTGCTAGATCTTTTATATCAACAAGGCCTTAGAATCTCATTGGCTTCAATAGTTTGTCTACATCTGTATACTAGTTGAAATTTGCATAATCCATGTAGTTCATTGAAAAAAACTTCATTCAGTTTTCCCCTTATGATCAGTTCTGTCATTCAAAATACATAGACTTCAATAGTCAATTTAATTTTCCCTCATTCCTCACGGCATAATTCTCTAGAATGAATGTCCTGAATCATCATTTACTTAACCGGTAGTCTTGATAGTTTGGTTGATGCTATCTCCTACTTGGTTTTTTAATGGCATCAATTGTGTATGATGTCTTTTAATGAATTGAACGAAAGATGCTCGATTCCTTTACTCACAAACAGGTCTGAGTTATGATGCTGTTTTATATAAACAAAATGATGCTGTTTTGTCTAATAGGGAACCTTCTAGATTCATCAGATCATGCACGTATTATCATCAAACCTTGCATATTATTTTCGAATGGTACTATGTGAAAGAATTAGTCAAGACAAGTTTTCCAACTTTTCCACAAAAGTGAATACTTACTATCAAAAAGAGAATCTGATTAATGAACTTTCCATGCTAATGCACCAGCGAAGTTGGGTCCTGGATTAAGTGGGTGTGGAGTGAAATATTACTTTTTTATGACAATGGGTTAGGACTTTGGATAAATATATATGATTTTTTTAAACTGCATTCACACCTCGAGCTAGAAGCTGTTGATGGGCCCCCGCCTGCACCTGCACCTGCTGCCTTCAATATAGATGTGCTCATGCTCAAAAGTCTTTAAGAGTTAATACCGAGTGAAAAGGGTGGGAGAAGAGGAAAAGGTATAGAAAATTCAGCTAGTAGCTGCTGAAAATTAGAGCATAACCTATCCAGGATATGCAGCTTTGTCTGTTTAAAATTCAAAAATGTGATTCTTTTGAGCTCGCACAAAAATTGCTATTGTGCTAAATATGATTGATATGAGCTGTGAGCTTTAACAAACTCTACAGTGAAAAGCTTTAACAAACTCTGCTTTTCCAAAACAAATTTCCATTGAAATCTGTTCTTTAATTTTATTGTTTGAATTATGTTTTGTTCATTTTCTTTGTTTTTTCTTCTGTTCACAGGCTTATTTCTTCTCTCTCTGTGGCACTGTTTTTGCCGAGGGTCTGCCTTGAACCGTTGAAAAGGTAACTTTGCAGAGGAAAAAACAGAAATAGCAGATCATTAGGTTTTTCAAATTAGTAGAAGAGAAACAAGACTTGACCCTATCTGGGGAAGTTTCTTGCTAGTTATATGCAGTATTCGATTTTAGTGGCCCAAGCACTTATTTGTTGAGGAGATTTCTCTACACCAGGTTAATCGACCGATATTATATCACTCTGTTGCAGTAGGTCTAAATGACTTGTCTCAGAAAAGATCATCTGGGTGGGATATGTTCGAAATTAACTTGATTCAGAGATAATACGGTTGACTGATGAAAAATGCATGGAGAAAATAGGTGAATTTCATTGAGTCCCATGCCATAACATTAAATGTTTGGCTAGTACATTGTGACTATCAATAAATATTAATCTTGCATAGAATGATGCAACGGAAGCTTGTAAATTGACTTAATCACGTCTTCTTTACTGAGTATATCTTGTTTGTTTTTCCCTCTTCTTTCTACTGTTGCTCCGCCCTAAACGCCTTTGGTTCTTCTCCAACTACTGATGCAAACTCTTTTTCTGGTTACTTTGCCTCTATTTTTCATTGTGATTTATTCTCAAGGCTTGTATTTTGATGTATAGGAGGTTCGGAGGTTCGTATCACATTGAATCTGCTCAGCTGAATGGTCTGCTGCAAAGCCTCAAGGAAAGAAGAGAGCAAAAAGAGAGGCTAAAGAACCTCGCAAGTAAGTGGTCTTCTTTCTATTCTATGGCCTTCAACTACTTGCTAAGATTGGATTGACCAACTCTATATGTACATGCCAGCTCTGTGCTTGATAGGCAGAGAATAGGAAAGAGGGAAGAAATGTCACCTCAATTTTAACTCTGAAGGGACCTGATCTACTGAATAGCTTTTAACAAGGGATAAAATTTGGCAATTGGTTTACTCGCCTCAGAGACTGCATTGAAGCTTCCAAGATGGTTGAACGCCTTCTGTTATTTGGTGCCAAAATCCATTAGCTATGCTGTTGTACCTCACAAGAAGGCCAAGAGGGAGTCCCTCTTGCTTATCCCCATCTATCTCATATGAATCCTATTATATCTTCAGAAAGCATGAACTGATGATTAACCATGGTTTAGATACTATTCTTGGTTAGTTATCATGTTCTCATATATGTGTAGATTACCAACTGCATGATTTAGCCTAACTTGATGAAGCTGGTGTTGCTTAGAATGTTGTAAATCTCAGACGTAGGCAAAAGGCAACTGTAATGTAACACTGCAGAACTGTTTTGAGTTTTTAACACATTTAAAGAAGTTTTTTGGTCCTTTTTGGCGTTTCACTTTTTTAGGCATTGTTCTTTCTAAGTTCTTTTTGCCATTTTCACTGTTTAACTGGATTGCATAAGTATATGTAACAAATTTTCTGGGTTGCTTTTATGGATGAAGTATCCGTGCTTTCTAGACTCAACGGCATATGCTGGAATGATGTGGATTTGATAAAGCAAAGGATTTGCCTAATTGTGGCTCTGTCAACTATAAGAAACAGACAATGTCAGTTTCCATTAAGTAGTTTTCTGAAGTTAACAAATGGTTACTAAAGTTCACTCCCCTTCCTCCTTTTTTGAAATGAATATACATAATCAGGTCCCTCCCCCTTTTTGTTATGAAGCTTTTCGAAGCGGATCATAAAGGAACTACATATCATATAGAAGTCCCTCTTTGTATTATGTAATACTAGTACTAGTATTCATACCCACGCAACGCGTGGAGAGTATTAAATATAATTTTTTTATAAGGAAATATTGCTTGAAAATGCGACACACACAAGAAGCATGTAAATGATATTGTTTTATGAATATGTAAATACTAGATATTTTATTAAATATAAAATGCAAATTTTATTATTTACAAATTTTAAAATAATAAAATTGTAATTCAAGAAAAATAATATAATTAAAAAAAATCAGGATAAAGTTTGCATTTAAAATATTTAAAATAGTTATCATCTTTTTGCTTTCTTCATGAAATAGCAAATAATATTATTATATAAACGCGTCAACTGATAAATATTGAGGCGACAATATAAAAATAGATTAGCAATAATATAATTAATAGGCTGAAAAGTTGCATGTTTTGATAGATATATATCCCTTGGGAACATTTTGGCGGCCGATCAAGAAAACTTGTTATAGTGCACAATTTCATTTGTATATTGTTTGTACCAATTATCACCGTTGTAAGAATGCTAAAATCTGTTGCATAGTTTGGATCATATAGAAATTTTGAGAATAATAGATTTTTATTAGGAAGATGTTGGTGATGGAGTTAAGGGCAGTAGTTTTTTTTTTTTTTTTTTTTTTTTTTTGTAAAGACGTAGGTTTGGGGGTTAGGTGTTTAGGGATAAGGTAATTACTTATCTTTTGAAATATGTATGTTAAATTAATATTTAGGCATTTTACCACTTGGATAATTTTACATTCGTATTGATAGTTACAAAATTACATCCAACTTCCACATGATTTAGCAACAAAACTCATTAAAAGAAAAAACACGTCCGATGTAATTAGAAATGTCGCATCTCACAAACATATTAGGAAAATTAACCACATTAATTCTAAACTAACTAATTTTATTTTATTATTTATTTATATTATCCTAATATTTCCAATTCTCTTAAGCAATGCCAAGTGACTTATTAGGCTGCCACTTGGCTAAATATGGATATTTCAAAGAAACCGCATAAATAATTATTTGCATAGGAGAACGTGAATAAGAATCAATTATAGAGCTAGGTTAGAATTGTTGTTCCAAGCACACGTTTGGGGAGACATTAGTCGTGGGGTTGGATTTTCGGGTGATTTATTTTTTTTTCTTCCATTTTTCTTATTTTTGTGTAAGAAAATATTAAGTATATAAATAAATTACAAACGAAAGTACTAAAAAATGTGTAAAAAACTATTAATTTTTTTTTTGTTGCATTGGAAGTTATAATAAATAAATAAATAATGTTAAACAAACGTGGAAGGAAGTATTAGCTGTTCTTAAACGTGGGAAAAATTGGCAGGCTTAATTTTTTTATCTTAATTTTCTGTCTTCTATTTTAAAATAATTTTCAAACTTTTGTTAGAGTTCTATCCTAAAAATTTAAACTTGACATGTTATAGTGATGACACTGCACATAATTCATCGAAATAATATCAAATCTTTGTCTACTATTCAAAATCTTTAGACAATCTAAACTTATCAATAAATATGAGTGAAATTTATTTAAATTATTTTTTTAAATTAATTCAAACTATAAATATCCTAACATTATACATATTTCATCTTTTCGTTATATTTTTCTACTGCTATATTTGATTAGTTTTCCTATTTAGTATTTTACTTATAATTAAAATACCTTTATTTATTTTTTATTAAATTGCAATCTTAAATTCATTAAAAGTATAAAGAGAGAAGCCTTTTATTATTTTGTTGAGAAGTCTAACAGCTTGTTTGGATGGTTGTTACGTATCGTTTCATAATGTATCGTATCGTACTGTATTGTATTGTACTGTACCGTTTTGATAAATACAATGTTTGGATAGATTGTGTCGTTTGCCATCGTTTCATGATAACACGCACCAACAATATGAAGAATAAACTTGCAATATTATAAAGAAAAATTATGATACAGGGTAAAATTATTATATAAAAAAGTAGGGTAAATGATAAAATAAAATTATTTAATAATAATAAAGGGTGAGATTGAGAGAAAAAGACAAGGTAATGACGCGACCATACCAAATCGGTCGTTACATAAAGTGGCACATTTCGCCGTTATGTAATGACGAATTTAACGATACGATACAATAAAATTTAAGTCACAATTAAAACAAACATCGTATTTAAGGTAACAATACGATACAATACAATGGGTAACAACCATCCAAACAAGCTGTAAAGAGAGAAGCCTTCTATTATTCACATTCTTCAATTTATCTAAATTTATGAATAATACTATTGTATATTTTTTACTGACTTTATAATTTTATCTTCTCTTTTTTGTTTTTAAAATTTTTTTAAGAATAATTATAAAAGTGGCTTTGTAGTATCTTGACACTTGGCTTAATCTTATGAATAATTATTTATTTTGTCCTTACAATTTCCAAGTGACCTTTATTATGCTGCCACTTAATTTAATATGGTGTCTTTGCTTCTCTTTTTATTAGATATATCAAATAATGAATATCCTAGCAATATATTAATTTCCTCTTTTCTATATTTTTTTCTACTGCTTTATTTGATTAGTTTTTCCATTTAGTATTTTACTTATAATTAAAATACTTTTATTTTTTATTAAATTATAATTTTAAATTCATTAAAAGCATAAAAAGAGTTCAAAATTCTAAAGAGAGAAGCCTTCTATTATTCATGTTTATACTTCTGTATACTATTTATTGACTTTATAATTTTATCTTGGTTATTTCTTTTGATTGTTAAAATCTTTTCATGAATAATTGCGGAATTTATCAAGTGGCTTTGTAGTATCTTGGCACTTGGCTTAATTCTATGAATAATTATTTTTTGTCCTAAAATTGCCAAGTGAATTATTGTTATGCTGCCACATGGTATAATAACCCCCCCCCTCCTTCCCCTCCCCCCCCCCCCCCCAGAAAAAAAAGAGGCACTAGTTTTAAATGCAGAGAGGATTCACCACACACCCCCACCCCTCCTCCCCCCGGGTTTTCATTCCTTCTGTGTAAGTAAACAGTGGTGCGCCGTCAAGGTGCTAGTTTGGTAACGTCATGTTGTAAAGCATAGGTACTGAAATATAATATAGGACCTTATGGTGATCGAGATATTGAGGATAACTGAAAATGTTGAACTTCCCCGGGCAATATCACAATAGTAGTAGTAGTAGTTTGTGTTTATATTACTTGTTGTCAATCATGAAAAGGGAAAAGTGTAATGGACACTTGGATAGAGAAAAACAAGGTGAACTTACCCAACCAACAGCAGGTATGACTTTTAGTCATGGACACTCAATTGTGGAAATCCCCACACTATTTTCACAAGAAATTTCTGTTTAGGGAAATATGTGGCTTTTGATTTTTGATATCTAACATACGTTATACAAAAGATGAGGTCTTTGTGTGTTTTTTTCGTCCATGTTAAAGGTGGATGGGGATGAAGCATTTGATGTGTGAGGCTCACCAATGTTTGTCAATTTGATGATACATATTGTCAAATACTTTGTTACCTTATGATGCTGCATTAGTTCAAGCAGAATAAATTTTGAAAATGAATCTTGATCCAAAACCCATCCGACCCTCCACCCTCCCTGACAACCCCCTCTTTTGATTCCCTTTTTCATTCCCTATTCTATATTTCCATTTGCTTCACCCATACAATAACCCGTAACACCAACTTTCAGTCACTGTCAAGGTTCCACTATACTGCCCAACATCGACCAGCGCAACACCCCCTTAGTTACAATTCAAAAAATTTCTAATTTTGGAATTGGGGGTAATTCTTTATTTGGCCATAAGTTCTTGCCTCACTTTGACTTAACTTTTGAGTTTAGGCGATTCAAGACTCATAAATTAATCGTTTCTTTTAATCAGGTTTTATGTGAATGGTGAATTGATTTGATATTTATTAAGAGGCATGTCGCTCTTTATACTTTTTCAAAAGTAGGAGTGAAAATATGCTTACATAATTTTAGAATTAAACAAATGGTGAAGTTGGATTCAGCTTTAGTGGGTTTAAGTTGATATTTACAATCATCTTAATAGGGGAAATTTTCTTCCTTTGTTGAGTTTTTGAGTTCAACCAGTGCTTTTTGTATGGGCGAAAAGCTTCATATCACATATTTGACTTGGTCAACGATGTAAAAGCCTTCGAAGGCAAGTACGCATTGGCATTATAGCATATCGAGGGGTCGAAGTCATATAACAAAAGTAGGTCGTCATCGAGGTCGAGGTGGCTTGGTAGAAGACGAGGACGAGCACCTATCCTTGGTGTACAGTAACGAGTAGTTTAAAATTTTAGATTCCTTAGACAATATTCTAGTGAGTATTCCTCTCTGTTGTACTATCTAGGGTTTTATGGCTTATGTACCCTTATAAATAGGAAGAGATGTAATCTTAGAAAGGAGATTGGACACTTTTTATAAAGAACAATATTGACATTCTCCGAAGATTCTCTCTTTATCATATACATACAAAGTTCAACTTTTTAAAACTTTATCTATCTTTCTTTACCCGATCCAAGAAGAATCAAAATATTCAACGGCTTATCATTATCCATCATAGTCAGAAGAATCATTGAGAAATCTCATACTT